CATACTTTCTTAACTTATAAAATATAACTTAAGATAAGACTTAGTACATCAAGAATATAGGAATAAAGACAACAAAAGTATCAATGCTAAATGTCAATAAAACCCAACATGTTGTTGGCAACATTGTTGTAAAAAAGCATTGTACAAATAGATTTATCCTAATTGTTCAGTTTTCTTAACAAGAGTTAATTGTATAATGACAAATCTTGATCTCAAGTAATTCATATATATAAAGATAATAAGAGTAAATTAAACACTAAAATGGAGAGTTTGTAAAAGAAAATATGATCAAAATATTTTAAGAATGTACCAACAGTCCAAGAATCCGGCTCCATGGTGCTGGAATTCTAAATTAATAGAAAATCATAGAGTTATATACGATTGGAAGTGGAATAATTGAAATAAGTATGATAATGTTCGATGGACTTTAAACTTTCATCTTTAAGTATGATAATCCTAGAGTATGATTAAGTACGTAATTAGAACTAGTTTAAGTTGATAAATACTTGAGACGTTATGGTATTCAACAAGCAAGGTGAGAAAGACGGGTTTGAAAATGGTCAAATTTAGTAAGAGGAAGGACGACCTTACCTTAAAACGATAGCGTACGTAAAGAGCCTTTTGCCTTTACTCCTCGTCTATCTTGACCCGGAAGAGGCCACATTCCTAAAGGAAAGTGTTATGATGGAATCATTCCTTAAATGAGCCATCTATCAAGAACAATTAAGCAAATCAAGATATTCATTTTGATCAAGGTAAGATAATAGACTACAAACAGAAAGACATGATCTCTGTGAAACAAAGCACAAACAGTCCATGACTTTACGTCCAATTCCATACTATTATTCTTACAACCATTATTATATATTTAACAGAGAATCTTTGATCAAGCAAGAATATCTCCAAGATCCTTTGGTTTAGTTTCCAGCAGCTTGTTACTTTTCTCCAGTTCCTGTTCCTGAAATTGTTTCTCCTTGGCCAATTTTTTCAGCCTTGCAAGCTCAAGATCTTCACTCATTTTCCTCTTATACATTTCTGCGAACGTGATGGGGTCTTCCAACACAGGTTTTTCTCCCTCCCTGATCTTCAGTGGGTACACTATGGCCTGTGGAGCTGGATTCTGGAAAGTTGCAATTGATAATCTGCTGCAGTTTGAGTTCACTACTGCTTGATGATCAGCATTCTTGAACCTCCCATTGCTTAGATACTGTCATATGAGCAAGGAATTTAATCATGTAAACCACAATAGGAATAGACAAGATGAAACCAATAATTTTTTTTTGTTAAAAAACCTTCTTTTACGCTACAATATCATGTTACACTTGTTAACTCTGTGTTTCCAATTTTTTGAATGATGAATAGGGAAAATGCTTATATAATATCGTTTTAGAAGTTCAGTACTTACATGACCATGGTCACCGAGATTGACCACGAAAGCTCCTTCCACTGGCTGAATGGTGATCCATGTCTTGCCACCATCCTTGGTGGCCTGCAGCCCACCAACCTGGTCCTGTAGCAGTAGAGTAATAGTCCCGGGATCCGTGTGCCGCTTTAGCCCGAGTGTTATATCGGGCTGTGGGCATTTTGGATAGAAATTTACAACCACTTTCTGGTCCATATCAATACAAGCTTTGGCGAGAGCATCCTTTTCCAGCCCCATTGCCTCAGACAAAACTTCAAGCAGTTTGCAGGCTAAATTCATCAACTTGTCGCTGTACTCCTCCGTCACGGCCCTCCATTTTTGGGGTTTATCAGGCCACCTTGAATAGTCTCGGGCCCTGATCGGGTATGAAAAGTATGTCACAATCTCCCTCCAATCCTGGACTGCTTCTCCCTAGAAGAAAACAATTAACAAACTATGCATTCATTGAAATTCATTTGAAACTTGACTTAATGATTCATATTATTTATTAAGATCAACATGGATAAGCTCTAACTCGATCCGTTTAAAAAAAAAAAATGATCTTTTAGGAACCGGCTTTCGGAAGTTAGTAACTTCAACCCACTTATGAATCCCTTTCAGTTACACCATTTATCTCAAATTTGGATCGAACTAGTCTGCTAACACAAATAGTTTATTATTCGGAACTTAGATGACTAAAGTTTTTGATTTAATAAAGTCCAAAAAGAGTAACTTCTAAATAAACTATTAATACTAACGTGTACGCTTAAAAAATAATTTCTTCCAAGGTTAACCAACTTGCACATGTACGATAGCATCATGAAATTATTTGGTAACGAAACTTTTTGTGTATTAGTAGAATTAAGCTACTTTGCTAAAAAAAATATTGATATCCTAGTTGACAATGTATTGATGGTACGAAATGATTTGATATAAAAGTTGATTTTTTTAAAATAGTTCAACGACAGAATGTCACGTAGCGTTCTATCAAGGAAGATATCAAATTTTTCTGGCAATACAACATGTCATTTTTGACATAAGTTTTACGGATTGGACATTTGTCAATTTTTTATTAGTTTTCATTAAAAAAAAAAGGTACAAACACGGCACCTGTGTGGTGTCCGTGAATAATCTTGAGGCTCAAATCCCTTACAAATCCCTTTCAGTTACACCATTTATCTCAAATTTTGGATCGAACTAGTCTGCTAACACAAATAGTTTATTATTCGGAACTTAGATGACTAAAGGGGCGAACTAGTATTTTTTTTCTAGTCGACATATGGTTATTTGCCCATTGACACATCTTAGGCAATGGATTGACATATCTTAACCCATCAGAGTCGGGCTTTCGGATCGTTAGCAATTAATGCGAGTATTGGTGATTGGGGATGCTCATTTTAGTCATGGATGTAAGGGTGCTTTATTTATCAACCTACTATGCACGTCTTTGGCTAAGGTTCAAAAAGAAAAAAAAAAGTAAAAAGAACTTTTAGTCAAGACTTCGAAGAAAATAAGTTTTTGATTTAATAAAGACCTAAAAGAGTAAAATAATTTCTTCCAAGGTTAACCAACTTGCACATGTACGATAGCATCATGAAATTATTTGGTAACGAAACTTTTTGTGTATTAGTAGAATTAAGCTACTTTGCTAAAAAAATGTTGATATCCTAGTTGACAATGTATTGATGGTACGAAATGATTTGATATAAAAGTTGATTTTTTTAAAATAGTTCAACGACAGAATGTCACGTGACGTTCTATCAAGGAAGATATCAAATTTTTCTGGCAATACAACATGTCATTTTTTACATAAGTTTTACAGATTGGACATTTGTCAATTTTTTATTAGTTTTCATTAAAAAAAAGGTGCAAACATGGCACCTGTGTGGTGTCCGTGAATAATTCCATTTTTATTTGCCATCTAAATAGCTGAACATTACCAGTCTAGATAGCCAACATTAGTCTACGTTCACGTGCAAGAATTTCACCGGAAGATTCTCATTACAGAGTCCGAGGCGTACCTGAAGGTGACTAGAGACTATGAAACCACCTTTCTTCCCACCGGACATGTCGAACCGGAGCTTCTCTTTTGCCGGCAAATCAAAGAACTCACGAGCCAAACAAGTCATATCAGAAATAAGATTACCATCAACACCATGATCAACCACCTGGAAAATCCCCCAATCCTCACATGCTTCAACAATTTTCTTGCATATCCCCGATCTCTTGCCGCCAGCATCATCAATTCCGGCGAGGGATATCACCGGAATTTCATTGCTGAACTGATTGTATGCCACCTTTGGGCGTTCATCTTCATCTCTTATGAATTGTGATTGCAGGGTTTTCTCTTGTGAGAGTGATGTTAATGTTGTTGGGGCCATTTTTTTGTGTGTGCGCACGAGATTGAGAGGAGTGAAAGCTCGTTTATAGGATCACGCGACAATGGAGGGTGAGTTCATAGTCACGCGGCTACCATGCCATCTAACTTTCTTTGCACTTAACAGTCAACTGAGTGTACAATTAATTTCTAAGCCCCCTGTTTGGTAGATTTTAATTAATTTACTTTACTTTAATTTAATCACATATTCACACAATAAAATATTTTACACATAAAATTCAAAATTTTTCCCTACTTTTTAATCGCACATTCTCCAAAACATAGTATTCAAAACATAATTATTTCAAATTAAAGGCCACCAAATATGGGCTAAAAAACACTAGGCCATTATTTGACAACTGTTATTTGTTTAAAATGAAGTTTTCAATAATAATTTTTTGAAGAATGCGTGATTAAAAAGTAAGAAAAAATTTTGATTTTATGTACAAAATATTTTATTGTATGAATGCGTGTTTAAAAATGATCATGTAAATTTTTTTTTTCTTTTTATTTTTGAAGTTATTTCTAAATTTTAGCTATTTCAACTAAAATTTTTGTCATTAATGATAGATCGGACTTGGATCTTATTTTCGACATCACCATCTAAATTTAGCCTTTTTCCCATTCTTTAAAATCATTTTTCCCTTAACTCATTTTTAATCAAATATTTTTCAAATAAAATAATTTTGTACGAAATTTAAAATTGTTCCTTATTTCTAAACATTATATTTTTTAAAAATATAAATATATTTTATATAAATATGATTATATACGTGTTTGATTTTTCAATAAATGAGTAAGGCGGCGGATGGGAGAGGGGAAGGGTGTATTATTAAACAGAAAGTAGAGGTAGAGGAGACATTTCGAGTACTGGTAGCTGGCATGCTTCTAGGACGAATTTTATGTCATCTACTTACTTTTGATTTTTGTTTGTTCTTTTTTCTGTTTCTTACGTATGAGGCAGGTAGCTTTTGTAACTTTTTCTTTGTGAAAGTGAAACTAATAAATTTATCTGGTAGAGATTTTTTTTTTTAAAAAAAAATAATTTTTATAAAAATTGATTATTTGAAAATTGTGTAATTAAAAAATAATGAAAAATTATAGATCCACATACAAAATTATTTTATTAAGAGAATGTGTGATTGAATGAGTTTGAAGCCCAACAGGGGCATGATAATGGATTGGAGTGGTGAAATTTTTTTTCTACTACGTTAAAGTCTATGAAAAATAATTCATGATAATTTTACCCCTCCAACTAATACTCGATATATAAATATATATATGTTTTTTTGGAAAGTCGTTAGAGATATGAATTAATGAGTGCATCGTTCCCAATTAGGTTGGAGTATTTTTAGTACCTTTATCGTTTACAAATTACAACATTTTATTAATAATAATGTTAAAATGAAAGAGTGTGGCAAAAGGAATGCAAAGCACAAGATCAATAGAACTTATTACTAGGCATGTTATACAAATCGCTGAAATAAAATCTGAAATTGTTCACAACGAAGCAATGCTATAAGCTTTTGATGCTAATGAATCTGCAATACGATTCCCTGACTATGGAAATTATTAAAAGTAATGTCCACCTAAAAAGTTCGACTATGACATCTATACCAAATTGTGCGTTTCCACCAAGACCGTAAAATAACCATCAGATTACCAAGTCACTCTCTAAATAAAGCTTTCTCTATTCTTTTTTTTTTTTTTACATAAGAATCCGTAACCGCTACCCACCAGTTGGGGCTCGACCCTCTCGAAGGGCCGAAGACCTGATCACTATGAGTGCGTACCAAGTAAATCCTACTTCATGTGCATTAGCCCGCAAACCACATATGAGAGGTAGGTCGCACCGGACGCTCAACCGAGGAAGTGTTGGCAAAGGATTCAAACTCGTGACATTTGATCTCCACATTCACTTACTCCTCCAACTTTGATTTAATTGAATTATTAATAAGTGATCAAATAAAGAATAGTAGTAGTGCCAAATAGTATACTCTGCCTCTATTTGGTTTAGCTAAAAATCAAAGTTTTAATAGATTACTAAAAAAATGATTTAAATGTGTAGTCGAAAAGTAGATAAAGATTAAGGAGTCCAATAAATAAGTGATTAAAAATGGGTATAAAGGAAAAAAAAAATTTAGATTGCGAATCACATACGATCCTGAGTATCCTATTCTGAAATCGAATATGTAAGAATGCATTCAATCACAAGATTATTTAAATGATTTGTACAAAGTATAACCAATTGTCTATAACGTCCATAGAATTATTATGTTGATTGTCAATTATGAACTACACCTACTTTGAATCTAAGGAAACAAAATAAGCCACGTGTTTAAAAATTGATCATTCATTTAAATGTTAATTAAAGCATAGACATCATTCAATCAAACACAAATTGAGAATAAAAAATAAAAATAAAAAAAGAAATTCTTGAATTAAACATCAACCATCATCATCCTAAGAATTAATAGATTTAACCTATCATGTTCATAGTACAAAAATACATATTAGATTGATGGTTCATCATCCGAAATATCAAATTGCAAAGAAATGTTGAAGATGAGTTTTTTGTCCCCTTGAATATCCCTTCCATAGACTCTCCAGAAACATTCCAATCTTCTTTCTTCAATTCTTTTGTCAAGAATGTAAGACAAACATAATAATTTTATTTCTGTCATTTGCGATTACAATGATATAGTGCTGCTGATTAAATAGGTACATGAAGCTAGACTAGGTTTTCGTGGCAACAATGGCTGTGCATAATTTTTTGAGACAACACGACAGAGTCAATGAATGTTTTCGCATTGTGGAGGAAGACGACGACAAGGAAGTTGAGGTCGATCTTCCAGACGAGGCACACGAAATTGCGGACGAGGAGGACGCGATTGGGGACGAGGACGTACCGTGGCAAGAACGACGTGATTCTATAGTTCAAGCCCTTCATTAGGTATCAAAATAATGGTCGCGATCGGTTAGGTATTATTATTAGCGAAAATGGATTTTTATGTATTAAAATATTTTTGTTACATCATTAAAGGAAAATCGGTTTTTCAATGTGCTAGAACGAGGTAGTTGAGGAAAACTGTGGTCAATTTTATGAGGGCATTACTGTCATTTTTGCAGTATGAAAAGAGGGTTTTCTGACACATTTATGAGTCTGACATGCTTAATTAACCGTACGTGCACTCTCCGAATGGTATGACACATGGGACCCTCAATTGTTTGAAAAGTCGAGTGGAAAGTAATGTGATTTAATCGCAAAGAATTAAGCTACTTGTAAAAAAAAAATTTGACAAAAAGCTTGACACGCTCTCACATGAGCCGACCCCACATGAATAAAAAATTGGACAAAAAATATGGAGGCCCCCACCCGATGTGAGAGGCCGGTCAGGGTGTTTGTCACCCTTGACCGGTACACCAAGCCTCGTCCTAATGCAAAATAATAGGGGGCAAATAGGGGCTAAAATAAACAATATATAAAAATATTATGTATCAATTCGATAAAAGCTTATCAAGTACAATGGAAAAATAAAAGAAACTACATTTTATTCGTCCCTATTATACTCTACCGTCATCGCGATACGAGCAAGGGTATATAGCGCTTTTGTAGCTTATAGATTTAGCCCCCGTTTGGGCCCCATTGTTTGAGGTTTGAATAATATTTTTTTGAAGAAGGTATAATTAGAAAAATAGAAAAAAAAAATTGGTTATACGTGGTCACGTGGCACGTTCCATGTTAAGAAGATTTGAGTCCCACACGTGGTGTACCTGGAATTCCTTTCACTTTAATTAAAGGCAAACTTGCTCTACCGATCTCCAACTTATTGTCCAAAATAAGTTAGTCTCTATTCATGAAACATAAACAAATTTGTCCTCAACCTTTCATATAATTTCACGGTAAAGTCGCTTAGTATGGAAAATGCTTGAACTATATCTCTTTTGTCGTTCTTTAGATAGATTTGTCTTGAAACCTTTTAGTATTCTCTACATACTCACTTGTCTTGATTTCGTTGTCGATTAAAAAAGATATTGTTGTATCCTATTCCGAACTAGTAGTCTATAAAAATAGTTAAAATCGCCATTAAATTGGCATGCGATCCTCGCATGTAAGTGTTTATGAAGTTATGTTTTTCTTTCCAACTTAAACTAGTGTCTAAATATTTATAATGGGACATATTTTCATGGAATATACTACGAACTAACTTGCTCATTTTTTAAAGTTTATAAAAACTAGTGATTAGATGAGGTAAATTGGTGCAATTGGGAAAATTGGTTTGGATTCTTCTACCTTTCACCTAGGGTGAGTCCCAAATTATTCAAATATGGAATTCGAGTTCTTACTAGATGAAAATTGTCAATACGTGAAAATTGTCAAACAACTTAAAATAATGTCATTCTTTCTTGAAATCACATGAAAATTGTGTGCAACTTTATTGTCGACATTGACAATTCTCAACTTGTAAGATCCATGTTCATGATTTAAATATGATAAGGATCCAAAACTTTACTTTGCAACTACAACACGTAAAAGATTGAAGAGCTGAGGTTTTTTTTTTCTTAATTGTATATACATTTTTAAGGATGACAAAAAACTCGACAAACTAAATACCCGTGGGGCCCCACCCCTATCGGTGGAGGGATTACTCGCTTAATCGGATATTTGGGTTGGGGATGGGGTGGGGAATTTTGCTTTGGAGTAGGTTCGGGGTAGGGATGGGTACCCCGCTCCTTTTAATATTTTTTTTTATAATTCAATACTTTAAATCAAAAATTTCACGAAATTTTATTAGTTCTAATAGAAAATGGAATTTTATTAATTATAATAGAAAATGACAAATAAAATTATTTGTCTCAATCTAATGAATGTGAGCAATAAAATCAATTATCAAAAACTAAAAAACAAAAAAAAAATTAAACGGGGCAAGGGCTTCACCCTGCCCCGCCTTGCCTTGCCTTAAACAAGTAATGTGGTGAGGACGGGGGGTGGAATTGCTTGGCGGGGCGGGGGAGGTTGCCCCAACCCCGCCTCGCGCCTCGTTGCCATCCATATACATCTTGTGGAGTACGCAAACTAATTTTGCTATAAACTTAACAAATTTTGCCCATAAATTTTGTCTATACATCTTGTGTATTTGCGTATTCGTGCTCGCGAAGAACAAAAAAGTCAATATTTTGGGAATGAAAAAAAATGTTTAAAATAAGGTTGCGTTTGATTGTCAATATTTTCACGAAAGACGTGCTTTTTTCACATAATTTCCTACTTTTGTGTTGTTTGATTGACAATTTTTTTCTTGAAAAATATTCATACTTTTGATCACGTGACCAGGTTTTCATGAAAACAAGGAAAATATTTTTTTAAGGAAACATGATTTTTATTTTACAGGTAATTCACTCCCCCTGTCTTTCTCTACCCATCAATAAAAAAATGAATAACTATATTATTTTTTAAGTTGAAAACTAAATCAATCAAACACGTTTAATTAATAATTTTCATACAAATAATTTCTAGGTAATTCAATTGTCTAAAATTTATTTTCTTTTCATGCAAATTCTATGCTAACAATCAAATGCACCAAAGTTCGGAATTTCAAAAGAAAGAAGGGCGTCGGGTGTACTTTCGCTAAATTAATTTTTATAAAAGCCCATATCATTGACACCTTTTGCTCTAATGACGTCGATTTCAATAATATTAAAATGTTCCCTTGATTAGATTTTCACAAAATAAACAGTCAAAAAAAGTGAAAAATAAAATAAAATTGAGAGAGTCGAAATTGTTTGACTATAATTATTGTCGTCCATTATAATTAAATTCAAGTCTAAAAGATTAAAATTTATATTATTTCGTCTCAGTCGTGTTAATTGAACACAATTAATTACGTATTCATTACTCATTTTTAGTAGGCAATTATACACGTCTGATGCACATTTCGTACATAAAAATTTTATTTTCATTAAATTATCTTATTTGAAATCTAAATAATTATAATAAAAATTATTTATATTTATATCTTCAGCAAAAGATAGCTGAACATTAATTCCATTTTTATTTGCCATCTAAATAGCTGAACATTACCGGTCTGGATAGCCAACATTAGTCTATGTTCACGTGGAATAATAGTATGGAAACACCTTCTTCTTCATCGCGTTTCTGCATAAACGCTAAGAACTATTTCTTAACTTATCCCAAGTGTCGAATTTCTAAGGAAATCGTCCTCGACCAAATTAAAAATCGTTAGGCCCAGTATTAATGTATTACCCGAAATACCATTTCAATTCGAAAATGTTTTCGAATAATGCATGGTATAACATCATTGATAATATCAGCCCTTCGTATCTGCAAAAGAAACATTGGGAAGAAGAAAATTGTCAAACAACTTAAAATAATGTCGTTCTTTCTTGAAATCACATGAAAATTGTGTGCAACTTTAATGTCGACATTGACAGTTCTCAACTTGTAAGATCCAGGTTCATGATTTAAATATGATAAGGATCCAGAACTTTACTTTCGAAAATTTAAAACCCGCAACTACAACAAGTAAAAGATTGAGGAGCTGAGGTTATTTTTTTCTTAATTGTATATACATTTTTAGGGATGACAAAAAAACTCGACAAACCAGATACTTTGGGGCCCCACCCCGATCGGTGGAGGGATTACTCGCTTAATCGGATATTCGGGTTGGGGACGGGATGGAGAATTTTGCTCTGGAGTAGGTTCGGGACAGGGACGGGTAACCCGCTTCTTTTAATTTTTAATTTTTTTTTTAGAATTCAATACTTTAAATGAAAAATTTCACGAAATTTTATTAGTTCTAATAGAAAATGGAATTTTATTAATTCTAATAGAAAATGGCAAATAAAATTATTTATCTCAATCTAATGAATGTGAGCAATAAAATAAATTATCAAAAACTAAAAAAAAATTAAACGGGGCAAGGGCCCCGCCCTGCCCCGCCTTGCCTTGCCTTGCCTTAAACAAGTAACGTGGTGAGGACGGGGGGAGGAATTGCTTGGCAGGGCGGGGGGAGGTTGCCCCAACCCCCCCTCGCGCCTCGTTGCCATTCCTATACATCTTGTGGAGTACGCAAACTAATCCAAATACAACTATTCACGGCCCTCTTTTTTCTGAAACTGTTACACCCCCCTCCCAAAAGACTTCTCAATTTCATTTACATCGTAATCTTTCTCTATTTTCTTTTTTTGATGAAATTCTCATAAATCAAGCAATCTTATGCGTATATGTAACTGTGTATTGATCGAAAACTGAATCAGTAATAAATATGGATATGGAAACTCTAACGTGTCGGAGTTCTTTTTTGAGGGAAAGAAGAATGCGGAGCACCCCGAAGAAGTCGATCAAGACGATGACGACTTTGGGTTAAGCGGCAGCCGCCTAAGTGGTCGTCTGTTGACCACTCTTATCTTCCTCCGCCTCATTGGTCACGACCACGATAACCTCTTCGTCGCTGCTAAGGCTATCCATGCAATCGACATGTCCTTTCTCATTTACAAACTCGCCCAAGAGAAAACCTGCGTCGGTAATAAAAATTTGTAGATTATCTGATGGGGAAAATGTTAGATGCATGTAGATACTTCGTTGTAGATCCATATATGGTGAAATTTGAATTTGGTTAATTGATGTTTTAAATGTCGGTTTATATATTTTACATTGAACAAGAAAAACTAGTCATCGGTTAAATGTTTGGATCATGCTACATGTATCGAATTTTTTTACTGAATCTTTTACCTATTACTCACAATGGAATGGTGACCACATTGTTGAAATTTTTAAATACATGCGGGTCCCGCGCATTATGTGAGAATGTGTAATCCATTATGTACAAATCATTATCTACAAATGAATTAACCCTAAATGTTCAACATCGTCCATGAATATAATTTTCATATTAAGAAGTGTATTCATTCGAAACTTTTAAAAACTTTTTGGGATTTAATGAGAAGAATAATCTTGTATTGAGACATATTCAATTTGTCAATGATTTTTTAAAAACTTTTAAGCAAAATGTATAAAAATAAAATTTCAAAATTTGTCTCTTATTCATTCCAAGATTTTGGGGGACTTTCACAAAAATAAAATAAATAATATGTAATTTTTGTTTCTTTCAATAATTCCCTTTCATTTTCCATTCTACGGATAATAGAGTTTTGATTAATAAATTATTTTTTCTATTAGTTATATTTGTTTCTATTTTTCTTTTTTATATCTCTTTTATTGTTTATCTCCATTTTCTATGAAAAATTAAATTGTAACTAAAGATTCTTATAACTTTTTTTTCCCTTTTCATTCATTTTTTATGAAAAATATCTATTATAATTAAATTATAAGAAAGATTTTATATAAAAAAGATTAATTTATAATTAAATTTAAATATATTAATTTTTATTTACTATTTAAAAGGTATGTCATATTGATAATACATAACATTAAATTTTTTATTTATTTTTTATCGAATAATAATGAGTTTTAAATATATATGTATATTTTTATTATTATTATTTATTTATTTAAGGTAACTTAAATTTCTATTCTTTTAAAAATATTTTTTTTACGTGAGGAGGGAAAAGAAAATTGTAGGAATAACCTCACGTATGTGAGAACTTCACATTGTTGCACTAGATGTACTTGAATTCTATTTTAAATGAAAGTCTTTAAAAGTGTTTTGAATTTTATAAAAAATCTATAGAAATTCTAAAATAAAAGTAAGTCTACGACCGACTTCCATTAATTCCATACAAATCTATTACAGTTCATCGAAATTCCAAAAGCTTTCACTTTAAAAAAAATTGTTTATAAAAGTTTTCAAAAATCTCAATTGAATATACCCCTTAAAGCCTATATTCGGAAAAGAATATTAGGGACTTTTTAGGAGTAATATTGGTTGGTGCTGATATATTTGTATTATGTCATCAATCCAACATTACAAAAAAGGAATTAGGTATGTAACAAAACAGAGAAATCTTCCATAGTAAAACCTTCTTTTACTAAAAAATTCCTTGGGCTAATGAATGTGTAGCTCGAATATTGATATCGAACAACTTAAAATCTATATTCTTGGCTTTATTTTATTTCTGCATACTCTCTCGGAGTTAGGGATTAATGAATAATTTGCTCTCTCTAAATGTGAAAATCATCTATTTTTGGTTCACCAATTATTGTTGTTTCCTTTTAATTCTCACTTGAACTATTTGTTTATTTTGTTCTATTACAGTATAATGTATAGTTAGTTATTTGTATAGTTATTTTATGGTGTAAGTGTTCATCGAAAATATGTTTCGAATAAAAACTATCGCAAGTGTACGGATCGTTCAAGTAATAAAATGGATTTTAGAGTTCAAGTATCGTTCCCACAAAGATTTACTAGTTCGATTTTACATATTCTGACCTTAACTGAAACGTGAAATATGATTGAGTTTTGTAACTAAATTGTAGCTAAACTAAATGAACGCAATAGTGGATGAATTAATTAAACTAAATGCAAATTATACGATGTAATGCATATTGAAGTAACTTATAGAAAAGAAACGCACTAGGTTCGCGAATTCTCATGCAATGATCCATTTTAACTCTAATTCTACAAAATTGACATTATGTTTGAATTGATGAAGAATCAATGTTTCTAACCTATTCAATAATCTCTCTCGAGTAGAATTGAACATATTCTCGCATACCATTTGACTATATTTCTATGTCAAATGCAATATACAAGAATACATGACGTTTTGTAAACATTTAGAGATTCACATAGAGCATAGCGGTATATTTCTATCCTTTATCGGACCCTACGATGATTTATACCTTGTTGAGTCTATTCTCCTTCTTTTGAATGCCAGAAATAGGCCACCACACTCATACAACTATTGCTCATATAATTGTAGAGAAAAAAGCGATGTATATAAATCATTCAATAATTCAAAACGCGTTATAATGTCAATAAAGTAAAACTAGGAATTAAAATATCACATCACAAGGTTCATCGTTCACCTA